GCCTCAGCCTCCCCACCCACCCCTCCATCCCCCCATCCACACCTCCGTCTCCCCGGCCACACCTCCGTCTCCCCGGCCACACCTCTGTCTCCCCGTCCACACCACCCTCTCCCTATCCACACCTCCGTCTCCCCGTCCACACCTCCGTCTCCCCGGCCACACCTCTGTCTCCCCGTCCACACCACCGTCTCCCTATCCACACCTCCGTCTCCCCGTCCACACCTCGCCACACCTCTGTCTCCCCGTCCACACCACCGTCTCCCTATCCACACCTCCGTCTCCCCGTCCACACCTCCATCTCCCCATCCACACCTCCGTCTCCCTGTCTTCACCCCTGTCTCCCCGTCCACACCTCCGTCTCCCCATCCACACCACCATCTCCCTGTCTTCACCCCTGTCTCCCTGTCCACACCTCTGTCTCTCCTCCTGCACAGTAAACTCTCACCTCTATCTCCCTGTCCAAACCTCCATCTCCCCATCCACACCTCCGTCTCCCTGTCTTCACCCCTGTCTCCCCGTCCACACCTCCGTCTCCCCATCCACACCTCCGTCTCCCTGTCTTCACCCCTGTCTCCCCATCCACACCTCCGTCTCCCCATCCACACCACCATCTCCCTGTCTTCACCCCTGTCTCCCTGTCCACACCTCTGTCTCTCCTCCTGCACAGTAAACTCTCACCTCTGCATTGCCACCTCCCTGTCTACACCACCCTCTGCAGCACCACTGCCCCCCTGTACTGTCACCTGCCCTGAGTATGCCTTCAGCTCCCACATCTGCTCCAACACTGCATCTGTCTACACCGCCACCTCCCCGTCCACACCACCCCGTCCTGGGTGCTCTGAGAGCAGGGCCATGGTGCTGGCATCCTGGAGCCTTCGTGGTGGCCCCGGCATCCCTGAGATGTCCCTGTTTCTCAGGGCCCGCGGGACACCCCATCCCCCACGGGGACACTTGGGGGTCCCGGAGGCAGCTGTGTCCGGCACGCCGGGGCACGTGGGGACCTCACGGCCTGTCCCCCCTCAGGGAAAACCACGCTGATCAGGGCCCTGACCGGGGACCCCGCCGCCCGGCCGCGGGACCAGCTGTTCGCCACTCTGGACGTCACGGCCCACGCGGGCTCGCTGCCCTCACGCATGACGGTCGTGTACGTGGACACAGTCGGCTTCCTGTCCCAGCTGCCCCACGGCCTCGTCGAGGCCTTCTCCGCCACCCTGGAGGACGTGGCGCACTCGGTGAGGAGGCTGGAGCCCCGGTGGCCGTGAGCCGGGCAGGACGCCCCGATGGGACGTGCCCCGGCCGGAGACCCCAGATGGTGCAGGGCTGGGGCGGGGTGCCCAGGTGGATGTAAACGAGGGTCGAGACCCCCGGCAACGTCCCTGGAGGTGGGCAATCGCCGCACACCCTCGGTGCTGGGTCTGTGCAGAGCTGCGCCCCGCGAGGAGCACCTGGGTGGAGGCCGGGAGCACGGGCAGGACCCGGGCCCAGGGAAGCCGGGTGGGCTGCCCCGCGGGCCAGCTCTGCTCCCAGGGCCCCCTCAGGGCCCGCCACCACAGCCTGGGCGAGGCTCCCCTGCACCCCTCCCGGTGTGACCGGCCACGCCCTGACCCCCGGCCCGGCAGGACCTGATCCTGCACGTGAGGGACGTCAGCCACCCCGAGGCCGAGCTGCAGAAGGCCAGTGTGCTGGGGGCCCTGCGTGGCCTGCGCCTGCCGCCCACACTGCTGGACTCGGTGCTGGAGGTCCATAACAAGGTGGACCTGCTGCCCGGGTGAGTCGGCACAGCCACGCTGCACAGTGGCGTGGCATGGGGTCCCTTGGTGGGCCGCACCCTCCCCTGCCCGACCTCCAGGCCTGGGCCGTCTCTGTGACCTCGCCGAACACCACGTCACGGTGGTAGCGTGGGGGCCTCCTGGCACGGGGGCCACAGTGGCCGGGCTGGGCAGAGCGACCCTGAGACCCTGGTCTGGGACGGAAACCCCGGGGCCGACCGGCGTCCTCGGCATCCTCCGCACACAGGTACAGCCCCCCGGAACCCGGCGTCCTGGCGGTGTCCGCCCTGCAGGGCTGCGGGCTGCAGGAGCTGAAGGCCAGGCTGGAAGAGGAGGTTCTGAGGGCCACGGGCAGGCGCGTCCTCACCCTGCGCGTCAGGCTGGCCGGGGCCCAGCTCAGGTGAGAGCGGCCCCAGGGCGTCCAGGTCGCGGTCTGCCGGCCGGCGCCCCCGGGGAGGCCTGTGCTCACCAGCTCGGGCCTGCGCAGAGCCTGGTCTTTCCCGCCACCGCGAGTGGGGCTGCTTGCAGAGGGCTGAGTGGGGGTGGCCCAGGCAGAAGGCCGCAGCGTCCACACTGTCCTCGGTCCCCAGCTGGCTGCACACGGAGGCCACCGTGCAGGAGGTGGCTGTGATCCCTGAGGACGGGGTGGCCGACGTGACCGTTGTCATCAGCCACTCGGCCTACGGCAGGTTCCGGAAGCTCTTTCCCGACTGAGCGGCCCCGAGGTCTGCAGGCGGCGAGCACCAGAGCAGAGCGGGTGACCCGGCCACGGTGGCCGTGACCTTGGCATGGCTGGGCCGAGCCTCGGCGGCCGCGGGGGGGG